TGAGCGCAATCAGCGTATTCAGGGAATTGGCCTTGAGGTAGATAGATAATCCTTCAGGTATAAGTAATTGCTATTACACCAAATGTGTATTAGTTCACAGCCAAACATTGTTCCCAATAAATTTAGCGACAACTTCTACACCGGTGTAGGAAAAGACTTGGACACTTTGTCTGTTTGCACGGAATCTGTTAACGTTACCCGTCATGTTCATTACAATCAGAGCAGGCAGGTTGAGCAAAATCAGACACACCGGTACATTTAATCTCCTCATCGCGCAACAACTCCTGGAATGCACTAAACCTCAGAGAAATGTTAATGGAGCCAAGTGTCAAAGAGAATTTTTTTTACCTTGAACTTGTCTTAGCTATAATTAATTTAAGATGAAATGGAAGACATGTTTCCGTGTTATCAGAGCTCCAAAGTACATTTTTTGGACAAACAGGAGGTTCCTCTTTTGTCATTTGCTGACAGAGCCAGAAGGTTCTTAGGACTGCTGTGGAAATGGTCCGACTATATTTCAAGATTAGCATGTTCTCTGGCTTTGCTGGTTCACGCAGTAAATAACATTTCAACAGGAAGCAAAGTATGAGTATGCAACAACGGGAGGAAAGCAAAGCTGGAGTTACTGTAAGTATTCAAAAATAGCCACTGGGGGAAAATGTGTGCCTTTCACGCAAAACTGATGCGTCGCTGATGACTAAAAAAACAAGAATGCAAAAGACGAAAGATTCCTCCCATCTTTTACCAAACACAGAAATGCATTTGGATGTGCAAAGGAAATGACCTCTTATGGGCAACTACGTGATAATTAGCACCCTCGGTTTACTACATGTTTGTGCAATGTGAAACTACAGCAGATTACAGAATCAGAACATATTTCAGAGCACTAGTAAGCAAACAACAAAAAAGGAAAGCACAATCCAAATGATCATCAGACCCAAAATGAAATTATCTTTCGAAAAATATCCTTGAACAACACCGTAGTGAACACTGTCTGTGCCAGTATAACAATGATATAACAGTTAAGCACTTGAGGTCAACCTTCACTAAGCTGATTTCCTTCTTAATGAATCAGGAAGTCTGGTATCACAAAGTTACATCAGAAATTCGTGTGAAAGTGTGATCTCATGTGTTTGTCTTCTTGTGCACTTGTCAGATTTATATTTCTTCAGAACTGGGCTCTGCGTTTTAATTGATTGCTTAATCTAAGCAGCCATTCATATGCGAACAAGCTGTAACTCATCAAATTTCCTGCTTCTCCGTGAGCTGACAGAAGAAGGAAGTGTTGCTAGTACAAACTGCATGCTAGTTATGACATCTATCTTGGCTATACTACAATGGAATCTGTTGTTTAAACATGTAGATCCTGGTCCATCCGTGTCTTAAACATAAATAAGGAAGCTGAGGGCTGCCACCCGTCTAGACTTCCTGAAGGTCATGCAGTCCTGATGGGTTCTGACAATGGGCTTCCATCACAGTGAGCCTTGGAATCTCTCAAGCATTGGTCAACGTTGAAACTGCTTAGACTTCCCAGCCAGAGGCTTTGAAGTCGCTCAGATGCAGAGCAGTGACAACAATCCAATCATCGATTCTGTCAAGAAGGAGAGCGAGTCCCTCATCACGAAGGTCAAAGGACCGTGATGTGTGCTGTTTGCGTGACGGGCTCTCCGATGGCTTTAGTGGAAACTATTTGGCCAGGGCAATTACAACAAAAGACGCACATCCAGCTTTTGGAATGTTTCCTAAAATGAATGGGGAATAATAGAATGAATATTGCTGCGTGTTATTCTCCACTGACGTGAAATGAAAACACTGCTTCCCATCATTGTAACACTGGGACGGATGCAGACATGCTGTCATACACACACAGAGGTAGGCATAAAACCATTACAACACTGAAGGACAACTGAGCAGCGGACAATCAAACAAAGCAATAATATAAATGACCATTAAAGGAGTGTTCTCCCACTTCAGTGTTTATTTTTACAAACATTTGTTGAATTAAATGCACGATTAAGCTTCAAAAAATCAACTTTCCTCATCAAGCCTGCTTAACACACTATAAACTGTGTCTTTATCCAGCCTAACCATGCTGGACGTGTGTTAGAGGGTCTCGGTGTGGGATATCTACGGTTGTCCGGCGAGGTCAGATGCACTGCAACTTAAGAAAACATCAGGAAATTTAAAAAGAAAACGACCACAAAAGCATACAAAACACAATGAAAACAGAAAAAATACAACAGAAGTTGATGAAAACACAACAGAAGGAGAAAAATAAACAAATTCACAAAAATGTACAAGTGAAAGGTTTTAGTGGAGACAATGTGACCAAACAGCTGTGGGAATAACAAGAAAGGAAAACATGCAAAGGATTGCCCCTTAAAACGCTTAAAGACTTATTGGATTTGTAACATGTGTTTTAATCACACAACTCATATGATATTGTGCATGTTTGATGTTAGCTACCTACTGTTTGCTTGTCACTTCTGCAGCTGGTCCATCAAGTTATCTCCTCAAAATCACTTAGATTGTGTTTTTGAGTTTTTTCTGAGCTTTTGCAGCATTTTTCATTGTATTTCTATTGTTTTCCTAAACTTCACTTGTGTGTTTTTTTTCTATTTCTATTGTGTTTTATTTGAATTCTGTTGCGTTTTGTGCGCTTTTTGCAGCATTTCTTTGTATTACCATTTGTTTATTCAACTTCCGTTGTGTTTCATTCAAATTCTACTGTGTTGTTTTTTTATTTCTATTGTACTTTATTCAACTTCCATTGTGTTTCATTCAAATTCTACTGTTTTTTTGTATTTCTATTGTACTTTATTCAACTTCCG